GCTGATGTCAGGTGTCTTCTTCAGTTGCTCTCTACCTTCAAAAAGAGTTAAGATTCATCAACTCTTAATTTTCATTTATGTTTTCATATATGCCATTTGTGTACGGGTGCCCATGGAGGCCAGAAGAGGTCATCAGATCCCCTGGAACTGCGATTACAGATAGTTACGAGCCACCAATGTGGATGCTCGGGTCTGAACTCGGGCTCTCTGGAATATCAGCAAGGGCTTTTAATTGCTGAGCCACTTCTCCATCTTCTACAATAATTCGGTCTCCCACTGAACCGGAAGCTCACTGATTCAGCTATTCTAGCTGGTCTGCAGGTCTCATGGACCCTCCTGTGTCCTTCTCCCCAGCACTGGGAATACAGACACACACTGACTGCTACACCTGGATTTTACATTCGTGCTGGGGATTTGAACTCAGGGCCTCATGCTTGCACTGCCAACACGGGACAAAGGAAACAGAGTAGAATGTAAATATTACAATCCTTGACAAAGTTAAGAGGAAAAATAGCTCTGGCAACCAAGAAGCTAAATACTCACACACACACCCCCCTCAGACAGGGTTTCATGATATGCCCCAGGATGGCTTTCATAGCTCAAAAGCATCCCCAGACAGAACTGAACAAGCCTGGCTGTGTTCCAACAGTACCTTTGTGCACAAGACAGTACCTCCCAGCCCCAGGGCGATTCTTTGCTACCCTTGATCTAAGACAAATTCCTCAGGAGGGATGGCAGGGGGAAATTATTTAGCAGCCACAGTTAGAGGCAGCTGGATGGCTACATATCTGAGCCAGAGCGTCCCCTTCCTGGCTTCCCTGGGCCTCCACCTGGCTTGTAGACCCAGAAGTTCCTGTGTCATAGGCACCAGACATAGAGATGCTCTGTCAGGCAGAAACTAGGTTTGTTTTTACAATCAGCCTAGAGACACACACCTTAATAGTGTCTTAGAACATACACACAGATTTATTTTGTCATGTAAAAGCCTGAAGGGTGGCCACCCAGGCTGGGAAAGTGTGCAAGACCCCACCTGTGTGTGGTCCTCATCTACAGGGTCCAAGCCAGTGGCTGAAACTGTTACTGTCTGTCTACCACAACCAACCAGCAGGAAAAGGAAAACAGTGTGAGTCAGTCCTCTTCACCCTCTCTCTGTCTGAAGGCCCTTCCCAGAAACTGTATTATTATCTGCCTGAGGCTCAGGCCTCTGCGGCTGTACCTAACTGGAAGTGGTGAAGATGTCCCCTTCAGCTTTAAGTGCCACCTGGAAAAGGAGGGCAGACGCCAGACAGCCGGCAGTCTCTGTCTCAGTTGCCTGGAGGAACGGTGAACTGGCCAAGACCTGGGGTTGCTTAGAAACACAATTCACAGGGAGGGGGCCCCTCCAGCAGAGGATGCCAGGATGCCTGGCCTGCTTCGTGGTCCTGTAGGATAGCAGAGACCTCTTGCTCAGAAAGCCCACACTAGGTTTCATGGTGGGCTGTCAGCATCTTGAAATTCTTAGTAATTTTCTTGTTGAGCTTGTTATTTTGTAAACAAAGTCTGTTGGGGCAATAGATATGAGTCTGAGGGGATGCATACCATGATGGCCCAGGGCTTTGCAGCTCCTACCCTTATACTGCATTGCATCAGTATTCTCAGCCTCAGCACTGACAGAGCACATCCGCCTGAAACTCAGGTCCACACTTCGGCACTGCTTTGATGTTTTCCTGCCTCTTCCTCCTCCTCCATTCTTTTTTTTCATAGATTTGTTTGCTTTTGTGCATTCTGGACATATGGAAGTCAGAGAATAGATTGTGGGGGTTGGTTCCCCCCTCCTACCACGTGGGATCCAGGGATCAAATTCAGGTCATCAGGCTTGGCTGTACCTTTATCCACTGAGCCAGCTCACTGACCTTGCTATATGTGTTTCACTGTGAAGTTTAAATTAGTCTTATATTTGGCTCTTTTATTTTCTTTCCCCTTTTTTCCTTTTTCTTCCTTTTTTTGTTGTTTTGTTTATTTGATTTTGTTTTGTTTTGTTTTGTTTTGTTTTTGAGACAGAATCTCACCATGTAGCCCTGGATGTCTGGAACTTGCTGTGTAGACCAGGCTGTCCTTGGAATCACAGAGATTCACCTGTCTCTGCCTCCTAAGTGCTAGGAGTAAAGCTATTTGCCACCTCCTTTTAAGACAGGCCTCATGTATCCCCAAATGGCCTCAAACTTGCTATATAACCTTGGCTCTGACCCTCCCATGTCAACCTCCTTGGGATTACAGGCACATGTTCCTCCTGGTTTATGCGGTGCTGGGGACCAAATCTAGGGCCTCATGCATGTGAGACAAGAACTCTCCCAGTTTAGGTCCATCCCCATGCCTGTATGCAGTTTTATAAGTGCAGTCCGAGAGAAGGGGGTGTGTGTGCCCATCCCCTGCCACTGCACTCGCAAATGCAGCACCCCAGAAGTGTTTGCCATATCCGAGAGTCATAGGATTCTGCCAGACCCACAGTGCTAAGATCTCAGCAAGCCTCAAGGCAAGTCCAAGGTGGCAGGCCATGTCCATGATTAAGCAGGAGAAAACAGGGCTTAGAGGCTGCCCTTGCCATCCAACAGTGAACTCCTTTTGAATGTGAACGGAGGCAGGGGTGGTCTGGAGAACACGAAGAATTAAGGAACAGTCTTTTCGCAGTCCTTCCTTGTTAGCTAGTCCTCCACAGTGAACCTGATAACAGACATGCAGGGCAATCCAGCCACCCCTTGACTTTTCTGTCCTTTAACTATCAGGGGAAAGAGGCAAAAATGTTGAGACCGTGTGTACCTATCAGGAAGTAAAACTATGGGCCAGGGAGAGGGCTCAGTGGATAAAGCACTTGCCCCACAATCGTAAGGACTGGATCCCTGGAACCCATTTAAAAGATGGGCATATGGTGGCTGCCTGTAATCCCAGCACTTGTAAGACAGAGACAGGA